AAATAGTTAATCGAGATAAAGAGATGACAGAGTGAAGAGATGGCAAACATAGAAAACATAAGAATCCTTTATTTGTGTTGTGTCTAAGAACGAAAAACTAATACACTTTCTTAATTTTTCGTGTTATTATTCATCCTTTGTTTAAATATCAGATGGTATTATGTGTCGTATTTGAGGACGCTTTCTTTGTGTAGGAAAGGTCGGTAAGTATATGGGTAGGTAGGCATGTGTTTCATTATTATTATCATTATCATTTCTATTATCATCACCATTAATACCAGGCTTAAATTTAGTACAGTAGTTACCTTCATGTGCTAATAATGCATTTGAACATAGATTTTTAACATTAAAATCACCTTTTTTTTTGTTTCAGTTATGATTATGTTACGAATATGATAGGTCTTGAATCTTCTCTGATTTTAACTCTGTCATCTTCTAAATAATACTAAATATTTTTTTTTTTTTTTTTTTTTTTTGGTTAGAAATGAATTTATGTATAATATATACCGGAATTACTGATTTATATTTTCAGCAAAGTCTTACAGATTTTTTAGATGATATTCAAATTTTTAACTAATCTGGCAACAATGTCCAGAGGTATATCTAATTGCATCAGAGACCAAAATTTCCCATGTCATAACACTCAGTAACGTGCCTCATTGATACAGCTAGCTTGTAATGTATTAATGACCTATACTGATATTCACATTTACCCTCTGTTTTCCTGATAGTATTTTCCAGTTTATGACTCGCTAATATCCGTCACTGCAATAACAACAATTTACAGCAGATCAACATACACTGTGCCTTCTCAAAGCATTGCTTGGCTGTAATAACTCATCTCTCTCGATTGAGTGTTTACCCTGCATGCACTCACAGTCAAGTACATCAGAATTCCCTAATCCGAAAAGTATCGAGACACGAACACATAACCACACAATAACTTTAGCAATAATTGTTCCTCATTATATCATCAAGATATCTGTTAATAGTCATTTGAATCCGGGACATTATGTGTGTAACATAGGACATGCCGTAGTGAATGAGCTCGACATATTTTTGTATTAATGCAAACTAAACCACATCTTACTAAAGTTGCCATCCAATTTTCATTTAGCTTCCCACTAAACACACATGAACTCGTCGCAGAAATAATTGCACTTCATATATACTGTCATTTCAGTCTCCTTTACAACACAAACAAATCGTAAGAATGTGATTTCCAAGTCACTTACATCCAGCGGCACTCCTTACACACCAGACAAAACTGACCGACTGGCAGGATTTCCCCAAAAAGGATAATTGTCTACTAGTCCTCTCCGTTTTCTGTTTCTGTCTGGCGCCTTGTCCGACCGCCTTCGATAAAGAGGCGCATCTCTCTGGCAACTTTTTTTTTTTTTTTTTTTTACCGAGTTTCGCTTATGCCACCCGGTATTGATATTGTTGTTGTATTTGATGGTAGTGTTATAATACTGTTAGAGCATGATAAAAGTGTATTAATATAATTCAACTGGACAGCAAATGGTTATACAGAACACAGTCAAGTACTTATGTAGTCCTTGGCAACAGTTGCCTTAGTATTTGCTTGGCTATACCGTCTTATCGCCATTTTTGTGTTCCGATATTTTATGTAGGTGCATCCGGCTGTTTCAGGGAGATAAATACGACTTTGAGCAGTATATACTCTGTTTATCATTGTGGTATAACCTGTGGATTAGCATGGGCATTATTTCTCATATTATCATATCATATCATATCATCACAGTAATCATCATCATCATAGTTATCATGAAAATTATGTAGAAATTCGCCTTACATGACACCACTCATTGTATGCGCTCGGCAGTTAAAAGTGTTAAACTAAAGTGTACTCTCACGCTACGTCTACCTAAGATCATAGAAAACGGTAGCAAAGGAGGAAACACTAAAATAATTTTTTATTCTGACACATTCCAGCGACCTGCACATTGGACTGATTTTACAGGTGATGATTAAGGTATACATCGCATACTTAACTTGGACTCAATTTATATTGGCTCATGCTTCTGCTAAGGTATGTTAGCATAAAAATGAACAAAGAAGATGTGGCATGTATAATCCAAATGCTTTCGACGAATTTATTATAAAACAACAGATTACAAGACTAAGGTATCACAACACACACTGCATAAAATCAAAGACAAGTAAAGCTAATATATATAAATATATATATATAAATAGATAGATAGATAGATAGATAGATAGATAGATAGATAGATAGATAGATAGATAGATAGATAGATAGATATAGATATAGATATAGATATATATATAATATTATTATCATTATTACTATTAATATTATTATTAATGACATTAACTATAACAATAAGAACAACAATAACAGCTACAGTAACAACGACAACAACAACAACAACTACAATAATAATGATAATAATGCATATACGTACACCTACCTATACATATATAAGCTTGATGACAATAAAATAGATCCAACCAGTGAACAGGTCCAGGGCACTGCGGTTGGCGCGCCATTTGGTCATGGAACGAAACTGGGAGAGAGACGGAAAATTTGCTGTTCTACATTCTATCCAAGACTGTCCTCATGCTTATCGTCGAACCCCCAGGCTTTTGGCGTAGATAACATCGCAAACTACGTCCTCTCATTCCAGGAGGCTTCAAACAAGGTCTATAAAAGTACTTATATAGACCTTGGCTTCAAACCTTCGATATCTCCCCTCTCTTCTCCCTTTCCCGCAGGCATACTATTTCCCTGGAAAAAAACGGTGACCCCAAGGCGGCAACATTACTGAGGGCCGCGACATGACATTTTGCCCAGTATTTTCATCAAAGACAATGGGAGAGACTTAATTTGCCATCGTTTATATTATATATATATATATATATATATAATATATATGTGTGTGTGTGTGTGTGTGTGTGTGTGTGTGTGTGTGTGTGTGTGTGTGTGTATACATATATACACATATAAATAAATGTATATGTATATGCATATATATATATTTTTTTTTTTTTTTTTTTTTTTTGGGGGGGACCTCTCTCACCCTGCAAACACAACCTCAGATGGGTTTTAACTCCATTAGGTTTTTACATTTGCGAGGATTTATTATTTTATCTCCATTTTTTTATAATCCACAGAGTTCATATTGTTTTTTTCTTTTTTTTTTGTTGTCTTTATAATATTTACTTTTGAGTAAAGGGTTTATTTCTCTATCTTAAGTTCATGATACTTTTACAGGTCTTATTTTTTATGATTTGAATTTATTTTAACAACTGAACTTTATCAATATTTACAAAATGAGGAAGAGCCATATTTTCTTTCACTCCTGTGTAAAAAAAAAAAAAAAAAAAAAAAAAAAAAAAAAAAAAAAAAAAAAAAAACTAACTAACGTGGGGAGGTAAAAAGGTTGGTCTTAGGCCCGTACTTTTAAAACCTTCGCCAATGCTGGCGTTCGCCTGGCGAAGCTTCGCCAGGCGAAAGCCAGCATTGGCGAAAGGTTTTAAAAGTACTTTATACTATACTGTATGAACTTTATGCTATTATACAAAAAATAACTATATACTTTAACAAAAGAGTTAAAAATTACTATGTTACTATTCCTAACTGATATAAGAAATAGAACTGTAGGCCTACAAGGGTATCATTAGAAACGCCTTATTATAGGGCGGTGGAGCACTACAGCTATGTTTCTATAGCCAAAAGTAAACATGCCAACATCAAAACACTTTTGGTAACATCTGTGAAAAGAACATTATCCCTACAACCAAAATAACAGCAACCTAAATCTAAATAAGTCATCTTGGGGGTAGGGGGGTAGAAATACAGCTGATGTCTTCAGCTCTGGACTGGAACATCGAAGGTCTTGAAAAAAAACTACGTATATACGTTATTTCATAATAAATTATGATTTTAAGATATTTTAGAATTTCAATGTGATTCCTACCTCATATCATACACAAATATGTTACTAATTTATAATTTGAAAGCAAGAAAATGGTATTCAAACATCTCTCGCGACTTTGCTTCGCTAGGCTGTTCCAATACGATCTTTCGCCAGCCCTGGCGAACGTTCGCCAGGCATGATTTTAATAGTACGAAATTCCCGATCGCCCGGCGAAGCCTTTCGCCAGCACTGGCGAAAGGTTTTAAAAGTACGGGCCTTAGACCTTGGTTGTGAGGGATCCCTTGAATGGGCCTTCCTTTCATTTGATAAGTGGTTGTGGAAATACATTATAATAGGAGGTGACAGACGTTTGTTTAAGTAATTGCTTCGGAAAATGTCCCTCATTTAGTGTTTTTTTTTCTCTCTCATGTTTTATCGTTTGTCACTGTTCTTACTTTACTGTTACAATAAACTGTTTTATGTAAATATGATCTCGGATTTTATCATGCAAAAGAAACCTATGAAAGGAAAAAAAAATAGAAGTGATTGAATAACAGTAATAAAAAGTATGACTTTAAATATCTGGTTTCCCTGTGTACCTCACTAGTGAATTATTTTATTAATTGCGCTGGAGGGTTCGCGCACAAGCCTCTCCTCGGCGACGTTTATGCCTACCAGTCTTTATATTCTCGCCTCAACCATATACACCATATACACTCACCACACACGTTCACACAATCTACTGATCCTCTCCTTGCATCGTCTTGTACACTACCCCTCTTCCCACGAGCAACACACGTTCCTGTACGTAAACCTACATAGGTGGTGGCAGCGACGCTTCTGGGCGAGATATAATTGTATATGCAGTTCACTACATTTCCCCCACGTGACGCCATGCGCGAGACGAACGAATTTGAGCAGCTAAGTGACGAGGCCTTCCTTATTTTAACTCACCAATGTCTCTCTCCCAAGCTAACATACAGACTTTCAAGAAGTTATTGAGCTGAGCCGTGATATATTATTACCGTCCGATTGTCCCTCTCAGCGGGGGGGGGGGGACCCCTTCCCGGCAAAAAATAGCAGTATTAAGACCCATAGACTGTCTCTCATCATTTGATAGCAGTGGATGAAAATTATTTCTAAATGAGAGTTGTGCATATGGAGGGATCTCGTGAAGGAGTATAGTGTTCACATTGTTGGGATGCCAAGACCAGTTTTTTTTTTTTTTTTTTTTCGTTTTCCCGTCTGCATCTTTAACTCGACAGTCGCTTAGACTTGTAAGGTAGAATTAAATCTTAGACTACCAAAGCGTGAGTTTGCCATTATAATCAACTTTGGAGTGTTTTGAAATAACTTTTTGATGCGCAGAGACACGGGTTAAAGGAACAATCGCATCAGTCACGCGAAATGACGATATCATTGCACGTTTTCCTTTTCAATTTATTCTTTGTGTACCTGCCATCTCTGATATCCTTAGAGACAACGATTCTGACGAATTCTATCGATGAGAAATCCTCAGAAAGACATGTCCAGACGATCCGTGGTGATATCGAGGAGAGGAATGGCGCGCACAGCTCTCACGGATGTAAACAATCTTGTGAACTCTCCAAACAAATTTTATTAGTGTCAATGAAAAATAAATTTCATATTTACTAATCTATTGTTTTATAGTATATATGCTAAATTTATTTTCATATTCTTCATATTACAATTAATTTTATTTGAAATAAATTCATATATTCTCGAATATTGCTCTTGATTTGACTGTGCTTGGCTGAAAAAGTTGACGGAAAAGTTTTTCAAACGGAAACGATCATTATCCTCTGACCTGAAATCAACAATTCGCCCAAATATTGACAAGATTTTAGAAAATTATCCAAAAATTGACGGAAAAAATGCTAGTGTAACAATACGTTTACCAGGCTTGGTTGGCATCAACAGTAAATCACATTACGATTCCTTGACGCCAACTTCCTCATGTGTAACGCTCCTTTTCCTGGTATTATCTTTATATCCTTAATTTATGTTTAATTAGTCACCTGGCATTCAGAGGGAAATATACTCTTATGGTACCTCTTATTAATCCTATGTAAACTTTAAAATCATTAAGGTCTATCTTTTACAGTAACATTCAACAACAAATGGTACCGAGATGGCTTGTAAAGTTTTCCTTTTTATACCAAGGGTTCTCAAAACTTTTAAATGGTCGACCACCCAGCTTTTAATTCAAGAAGTAATTGTGATAAAATCAATATGACTTGTAGTTATTTGTTGTTGTTGTAGTAGTAATAATAGAGGTAGTAAACAATAGTAATAACAGCAGCAGCAGTAGTAGTAACAGTATTAGACCAATTCGCCAAATCGTAGCACCCGCACCTAGCAACTCACTGTGCGTT